GATATATTTTATTTACCTTTGGTAGTAAAAGAAATGTACAAACAAAGCATCTTTAAAACCCTGTAAATTGGTTGTGATGGAGTTATTTTTCAAAGGGGTTAATTTCTTAAATTTGAACATGTAGAAAGCTTATTCCTTGGGTTCTCTTTCTATAGATAAAATAAATAAGTGCATTCTCAATAAATAAATTGAATTATTTTTTGTCTTTAAAGTTAAATTCATAAATTATATTTAATTATAAAATATATGTTTAAAATGAAAGTTTCCTCTGTAATAATAGAACTAAAGAAAAAGCTTTATGGATGTGCATACATCAACCTTTTCAACTGGTCTCTTATTGTAGGAACTGTTTTCTATCCTGCCAACATGTAAAAGTTTGGCATTTTACCGACAATATAACATACTCAGTACATCCAACAATGTTACAGTTAAACATGTGCGCTTCCCCTGTTAAATTAACGTAAAATACTAGTACAACAAATGTGCCTTAAAATTCATTAATCATATTTCCCTCGCAATCTTCATTCGTGTTATTTACCTTTCCAACGTCACATATGAATGATTCGTCTATTTAGCACACCAGTACCAAAGACCGCAAAATTCACACTTAACATGAACGAAATTAACAATTATGAGTTGTGAAAATTTGAGAGTGTATATTTAAGTTTTGAATAATTATTTTTGGATGTCCTTGGCCCTTTAACACAATTGGCCTTGCCGACAATAGTTATACCGCGCTAACACATAGTATTCAATTTGTCGGCACGGCCAGGTGTGTTATAGGACATACATGAATACAAAAATATGAATTCAATTCATTAACGATTTATATAAGAAATGAAATTAATAGCTTTTGTACCCATGATGCACAGGTACAACCTGGTTTGGAACAGTTACGCTTTTATTATAACTGTTACCAAAAAAATCGCATCCTCACAAACCAATTAAATTTTGCTTTCCCATTAACGCTTATCCCTATGAAATAAATTGAATCCACGGTATGCCTGGAATGGATTTTGATTGATTTGTATGGTGGTAGCAGTTAATATAAAATAATAATACCAGTGTTCCAGACCATACTGGAGAGCCTGTCCCCGCTGCAAAAATCAACCCACCGCGGTAAGGATGGAGACGTAAATGATATATTCAATGATATCATCATGTGGGTTGTAACCATTAAAGAAAAAACTTTATTATTTAACTTGCACATGCTGTCTATTAGCTCTACGACTATGATGGTTGCTTGGGGGGAGACAAGAATGCAGTATACCTATGTGGCAAATCTAACATTTATGTTTTTAAATCTGTATAATGCTGATGCATTTGTTGATAATGCTCAAATGCAAAGATGAATTATGCTAAAGTACGATCCTTAGATTTGAAATTTGTAATTATGTATGTTTTGACAATATTCCAACACTTTTGCATTATAGAAATACCGTGTAAAATATAAAGAATGCTATAATATAATATCCGACACCGCATCTCACAATATAATACACGAAATTGTGACTTATATGACAGGAGAGAGAAAGCGATGACATTTCAATGTAACCAATGCCCATCCAGGAAAGCAATAGGCATTGTTTTCCACATACGAGTACCTGAAAATCATAAGACCTTGACCAGTCTGATAATTTGGCCAGTAATTCGATGGTGTGTTAACGTTAACATTAGCTTTCATAAACCCTCAGTTAGAGGGTCTAATTATTATCAAACATTGAATCCGGGCATCAACATCAAAGAGATTATCCTAAAAATGGCACAGATATTTACGATTTGCATGTATGTTAAGATTCCATTGTTTGCAACAGTTACTGCTGGGTTTTTTTTTTAACTTTGAGGAAAATCCTATGGCTTTACATCATTATTCATTTCTTGTACAGTAGAAAATGCTGTAAAATAATATGTTCCCGATCGGAATTTGTGTGTTTGTTTGACCTTGACCTTGGAGATTTCCATACTCATGAACAACTTTTACTTTGATCATAACTTTTGAACGGTACATACTAGGACTTTTATTCTTAATATATATAATCCTTATGGCAAAACCTTTTATTGGATACCAACAACTTCGACCTTATGAACTTGACCTTGGAGAAGTCTGTATTTGTAAAAAAAAATTTACCTAGACCATAACATTTGAACAGTAAGGGCTAGGGCTTTCATTTTTCACTTAAGTAATCCTTGTTGCAATACATTTTATTAGATACCAACAACTTTGACCTTTTGACCTTGACCAGATTTCTTTACTCATGGAAAAACTTTTACTTAACCCATTACTTTTGAACGGTAAAGGTTAGGGCTTATTAACTTCACATATGTTATCCTGTTGGCAAGATAGGATACATACAACTTTTACCTTTGATCCTGGAATTTTCGTACTTATGAAGATTTATACGTTGGTCCTGTAGAAAAGTACAGAATTAATCGAGCAGAAGTTTTCAATCAGAAACATTTAGATATAAGTTGGTGGATCATAGACATAGTGACAATATTTATTGATCTAAAGTCAGATGGTGAAAACAAACAGCAGTCATCTCACTCTATATTCTCAATCAATCACTTGATCTTCTTTTCTTTCTCTTCTTTTTCTTCTTCTTTTGTATGGGTGGATCTAAATCATTTTTCCTGTTAATGTTCAGTTGGGGCGAATCTAAATCACTGGTTATCTTAATGTTCTGTTTGGCCGGATCTAAATCACTAGGCATATTAATGTTTTGTTTGGGCGGATTTAAATTACTGGGCATATTAAGGCTCTGCTGGAGCGATTCTAAATCACTACTTGTAGGCATGTTAAGGATCTGTTCGGCCGGATCTAAATCACTAGGCATAGTAATGTTTTGTTTGGGCGGATCTAAATCACTAGGCATATTCAGGGTCTTTTCGGCCTGATCTAAATCACCAGGCATATCAATGTTTTGTTTGGGCGGATCTAAATCATTAGGCACATTACGGCTTTGTGGGGGTGGATCTAAATCAACACTCATGTTATTGTTCTGTTGGGGTGGATCTATATTTCTCTGAGTGTCATTTCCTCCCTCGGTTGGATTTACCTTGTTGTTTCTGATATTGCTAGAAGTGTTTCCTGTTCCATCAGATTTCAATGCTTTATCAATTATCCGAAATAAAACAAACCCAACATCATTAGAAATACACAATATGATAGAGAGTATCAATGCAACAATGTCCCACGCCCTACTTTCTTTAACAGGACAATCGACACCACCAATAGCTGAGAAGATACAAATGATTAAAACGAGGACGACAGGAACCGAGCAAAGTCCAGCAGCTATCATATTTATTCCTAGGCTCACCACGTTAATCACTCTGTAAACATTTATCTGTCAAAGGAAATATTTTATGTTAAAAAAGATATATATATTATTTTTGTAAAACATAATTTAGGTTTCTCAAACAAGTAAAAGATGTTGGTCGCATGGAAGAGAGTATTACAATTCGAGACTGCAGCAGAACATAAAGTTTAGTTACTTACTATCTTGATAAAGGTGGGAGATGGTTGATTTCTATTTTCAACGTCCATTTTAGAGACAAAATAACAAATTATGCCACTAAGCAGAAGCTACAAATGAAATTAATGAATATAATTATTATAATGAAACAATCAAAAGCAAAATCTTCATTTTTCACCATATATTCCGAAATTTAAAAAACTGTTATAATAGAGGCATAATCACAAATGCATGCAGTTTAAAAGATTTATGATAACATATTTACATTTGCAAATGTTTTCATTTATATAACACTACTGAAAGCAAGCGTTTTTATAACTGTATAAATACAGGTACGGGGTCAAGATGTCATAGATGTGCGTTTGGATAAACGTTCGACGTAATCTCTTTGTGACGTTATAAAGGGTCGATGCGCGTTTAGTGGATTACATACATGCCGTTGGGTTTGAAAAATAACGCATTTCGCACATTAAAAATAACAATCAGGCAAATATAAAGTATGAATAAGTCGCAAATGTAAATATAAGTAATAAGGTATCATTTTTTCAGCTTTTATGGTGAGAAGAAGATTTTTTATGATCAAATCTTCAATAAAGCCCCTTTTAAGGGGACTTTATTTTTATTTGATCACCTTCACCCAAGGATGCTTTGTACCAAGTTTTACATCTCAATAAAAGTTTACAAAAATGACACAGCTACCTTATTTCTTAATTAATGCATCGTGTACGAACAAAATAATTTTTTTTTTATTAAAAAGTATTTACACTTACATTTCGAAAAGCTATCATTGTCTTTATTTGGCTAGAATTCAAGTATGATTTTAACATCGCATGTCAAAATGTTTTTACGTCATAATTACATTGCTAATTACATTACGTCATGGACTCGAGATTTCTTGAATGCTCCGCATACTGAACACTTCGATTGGTCAAAAATTCTCTAAAAAAATTCACGAGGGAGTAGTCCCAGGAAAGGGCTCTGATTTTTCAAAGAGTGGTCCTCAAATGAGGGAAATAGTCTCTTCTTGAGGAAATAGGCAGTTTAGTGGTATTATATTTATATAGAGTAATAAATGTAGAAGTATAATGATAAATCATATAATATATCATATTATATTATAAATTCTATTTATAGTCCTAATATAATCTATACAAACAGAAACAGTTTAATACCACTGCATATTCACAGGATTTTAGGCCGTTTTCACCGGAGGTTCAATCTGCTTATAACGCCATTTTGACTTCATAATCAGAACCTCAAGCAATGTTAAAAATAATGGTCGCAGCGGCCACAGCCATCTATATTATCTGAGCAGGTAAAATGTCAGACAACCTTATAGTAGGATTATTTTAAAACGATTGAACATCAGACACATAGCGAAACTTGTAAAGGATTGAATGAGGGTTGTATATTGTTGCACTCAAATGGAGACGCCACCACTTTGCCTTTGGAACTTATAAAGGAGAACACAGAGAATACAAACTTATTTTCAACAATGGAAGATGGCAAATGAAAATGGTGTCGTTATGCAGCCTTCAATGTGTTATTTATTCAAATCCCAAATATGTAATAAAACAATTGTGGACTCTTTTGCTGTTGAATATGATTTGTAATTCACCAGAAAAATATCAATATTGACCGAAGCAGAGCATATTCAACACCACAAGAGTCCATAATTGTATAAAATTATACTATATATATTATATAATGATAAGTTATTTTATATTATATCGTATTTTATGATATCATATTATATCAAATCATATCGTAATTTATTTTATATTTTATTATATGATTGAATAATTTCCTTCTCTCTGATTGGCTGAGTACCAACTATGTTAGAAAAATACAACGTTATATTGACCTGCACGTGACGTTCCTGGTCAATACTAGGAAATATTTGCAGATCAATGTAAGGAATTATTGACCTGTTCCATTTTTTCTGTTACAACATATTCTTGATGAAATTTCTTGTTAAAAACGTTCTTTAAGCTAAGAAACAGTCTTGTAGGAGTTTGCTATCATTTAATCATATAATAAAACAGTTATTGCTGTTTTTGCGGTCAATACGATGATTTAGCCACCTTTGAAGTACAATATTCACTTCGCCCTTCCGGCTCAGTGAATATTGTAATCCTCATGTGTTTAAATCATCGTATTGACCTAAAAAGAATAATAATTGTATAATGTTATATTATTACCACTGCTCCCGACCATATTGGAGACTTTGTTTCCTTTGAGAAAGCAAAATTATTTTCTTCTTTTTTTTGTAGACATTCATTAAAATTCCAAATATGATGCTTCCTGCTGAAATGCCTATCAAAAAATAGACATCCAAAAGAAATGCTCTGCAGCTTTCTTTGATTCTGTGCAACATCAACTGGAAAAAAATTCTCTTAATGAACAGAAACACAAAGTCTCTGATTTGATTACCTCAGTGGGAGGGAAATGATTGTTTTGGCTTCTTAAATGAATAATTCATTCATATCTGACAAGTGCATTTGATAATAAGACAATTAAATTTTAGAACCTGTTTCTATACTCAGGGCTATCGACCTGTGAGGGTATTTATCGTGTATGTTGCTAATGTAATTATGACACGGGTCTCTGTTTCCTCTAAAAGAAACCGTGAAGCTAGATTTTTCTAACAATGCACGTTTTCATATTTTAAAGATCTATGTAACAAAAAGTAGAAGCAATAAACTGAAATTAAAATTTTGAACAAGCAAATTCAAAGAATTGTGGTCCCCCGCTTTCGGTGTCAAGGTCATTCTTGATATCTAATGAATGTCACAAGGATTAAAAAGTGAAATTTGAAAGCCATTGCCCTATCCCTTCAAATGTTACTGTCAAAGTTTGTTTTTATTAAAGTAAGTTCAACTCCAGGGTCAAGGTCAAAGGGTCAATTTTCTTGGTATCCCATGAAGATCTCACAAGGATTACATATATGAAGTATGAAAACCCTATATAGCCCTTATCATTCAAAAGCTATGGCAAAGGTTAAAGTTTTATATGTAAGTAAGGAAATCTCCGAGGTCAAATGATTAAAGTTGTCGGTATCAAATGAAAGGACTTGCCATAAAAATACATATGAAAAAATTAGAAAGTCCTAATATCTACCGTTAAAATGTTGTGGACAAGATTACAGTTTCAAAACGTAGGTCATACTCGAAGGTTAAGTTCAAAGGGTGAACGTTTTTGATATCTCATGAAATATGTTTCACAAGGATTATATATGTGAAATATAAAAGCCCGAACCCTACCGTTCAAAAGTTATGGCCAATGTTTAAGTTTTTACAAAAGTATGAAAATCTCCAAGGTCAAGGTCAAAAGGTCAAAGTTCTTGTGTCTAATGAAAGGTCTCGCAACCAACAATACGAGATATATATGTGAAATATAAAAGTTCTAGTTTCTATCATTCAAAAGTAATGGCCAAAGTAAAAGTTTTTTTAAAAATTGTGTTAAAGTGGGTCACACTCCAAGATCAAGGCCAAAAGGTCAAATTTTGTGGTACCCAAAGAAAGATCTTGTCATAAGAAACACACATGTGAAATATGAAATCCATAGCTCCACTTAATCAAAAGTCATGGGCAATGTGAAAGTTTTGTGATGGACAGACAAACTGACTGACGGACAGACGAATGAGATTTGATGTCCCCTAGCTTTCACGAAATCGAGGGACAACAAAAATCCAGGTGGTTTAACATTCCAACTTTGCAAGCATTGATATATGATAAAAATGAATTAAGTGGTGGTCTATGTGTTTTGAAGTATCTTTGATTAAAGAAATTCCTTCTAAAATATTTTTTTTCTATAATCTGCTAAATTTGACAACAGGGATTACGTGTATATGTTTTTTGTCAGCCAACAATATGACCTTGTAATATGCTAAATGGAATCCGTTATTTTTTGTGGTTTTTTTTATGACGAATGAAAACAGTTATACAGTTTTAAAAATGTACATACAAACATGATATCTTCAATTGAATCGATACAAATGAACAAATTATAGAACAAAACAGGCTTTAAAAATTAAATAGATGATGCAAAGCTATCAAAAATACGAGGGTCGTTCAAAATTTACGCGGACTTGTTGCACAGAAAAAATATTTGACGACATAATCGGGCAAAATGTCACACATAATAAATCTTTACTTATATGGTCTGCAAAATTTCATATCAAAATATTTTAAATTGGTATCAATTTTGAGTGATTTTTCAGGACATATCATTAAGTCACGGAGCAACAAAATCTTCACGTCACAGGCATTATTAGAAAAATGTTACTGAGCTTTCACTTTCTCAACATTTTCCCAAGAGTATCTGTACAGTTTGAGTTACCTTATCTACTCAACATCCAAACACCATTTCTTGTCAAGATTAAAACATATTAAAAAAGTAAAGAATATTCTTAAAAGTTTTTTGTTTTAAAACCAAAAACTGTATTTAAAGGTAATTATGAGATATAGTGTGATATTGGTGACTCTCAATCACGTTCTTTACAGTCCGGATAAAGTTTTCGTCGATAATCTTCGTACCGCCCTCCCGTATGGCCTTTTTACAGAGGTATAACGGTCTAAAATTCCAATTTGCTATTTGTAGGCAAATTTCACGAATAACCAAGTTTATTACATCTTTTATTATGCATATTTTGGATTTATGTTGGCGAAATCCCGAGCAATACACGTAATTTAACAAAAGTGTGGTGCGCCGTCAATTCAGGAGACGTCATTTTCACAGTTGTTTTCAGGGGAATCTCATCAGAGATAAATCACTATATTTCTGTTAGTTCTTCAAATATCACGTCAGAAATCTAAATGCATAATAATAGAACAATTTAAAGATACATTTGAGAAAATTGTCGAAAAATATCGCAAATTATAGAAAATTAATGACTTAAATTTTGGATTCCGCATGTTTTTGCTTCACATTTTTGTCGTGCTCCGTACCTCTCCTTCAGCGATATCAACATACCTATAATTTTAGTAGAATTTATTTAATATACAGAAATTTTGCCCAAAATTTATTCGAATCTTTAAGATACATATTTCTGTGAAATTCCATAACAAAATTATGTCTGTAAGAGTAAATAATAGCACAGTCCGCGTAAATTTTGAACGGCCCTCGTACATTTTAAAATCGACATCTCCCAAATTCCAAGTTCACTAAAATGACTTTGTATGCAAGTAAAATATGTTTTAAGTCTATTTTTAACTATATTCGTCATACAAATTTCTAGGATATTGTTTCAATACCGAATTTTCCACATATATTTTTCTTTACCAGATTTTGACAAGGAGCACATGGTGGATGTGCCTGGTCGACGGGAGGTGCTTTTTTCTCATAGCACCTGGTCCTACCTGATTTTTCAGATATCCCTGACGGCTATGCTTATAATTTGTATTTATTTAATAGACGTCTGAGAATGATCACCTTTCGTTATCTTTATATATTTTTTCGACATGTTTGTTTTATAAACATTGTACACATTTACATATATGCATATAATTGTCTTCAAAGCATTTATACATGTTTAATTCTTACCAGATGAGTGTGGGAAGGCACTTTCGTTTTGTGATGTGTTCACCATCTTGGTAATGGCACGACCGATTCTTGTGACTTAGCCAATCTTTTTAAAGCATTATTATTGCACATTGTACATCTTTTTGAATAAATGTTGGACGGCGTTATTCTGTTAACATTTAAATCATTCGAATGGAAACGGAGAAAGAAGGTTGTTCAAAATTGTCCATGTGCATTTGACTAATTGTATACTGAAATATTTCTTATAAAAGCGATAGGCAAAATATTTATGATTGAATAATCAGAATTTTTGCAATATATTCTATTTAAAAACTTGCATCATGGGTTTTCAGACGTGTTTAATTTTTGAGACTCTTTAAGACTACATGTACTTGTTTATGTTGAATAACCCGTATTGATGACTATTTAACCAGGCCTATTAGTTTTCTGGTTAAAAAAATGAATAAAAGCAAATTACCATATTCTCAACGAGCGCAAAGAGTAGATTCACTTTATTTATGAATGCATGAAATGACCCTGTGGATTTAACATTTAATAAGATATACATTTTCCGTATCTATCTACATTTATGTGTCACAGATTAGTCAAACGGATCTACTATTTCTACTTCTCTAAATTTAAATTTATTTCTAAAACTTTTGTCACGATATTTTACACATTTAATTACAATAAATGTACAAAAACAAAAAATCTGTACTTGCTTGTCCTAATTAGTCGTTGTTCTGCCGATTCCAACTGCATCGGCCCGAGGTAGGAGGCCGACAGTATCTGTTGAGCAATTTTCTTTTTAAGCTGAGAACACAGTAAGTTTAATAAAAGAAACACTTTGTTTTTAACAAATTGCGTGTTTTTCTAGTGTTGATCAGAAAAACGCAAAAGAAATACCCGGTGAGATCCAAACATTGGCATCAATCATCGATCTCTTTTGATCTTTGCTTCACTCTGTCGATAGCAAATTGTTAAACTCAAATATTAACTTTTTTTTTCATTTTTAATAATCGCAAATATTTAAATTTCATTTTCATTTAAATATACAAATAATTAGTGGTTCCCTTTCTTTAAATATTTAGCTGTTCTGTTAAAGAATTCATCCTTTTTGGGGTAAACATATACAATAATAATAATACCAGGTATGAAAATTTTAAAAGTTACGAGGTTCTATTTTAAGTTTTATTTAATAAACATTAGGTCATAATTATTCCTATCTTATTACTTCCTGTATTATTCCTTTATTTGAAACCAATCACGTATATTAACTTGGCATCCAAACTGCAGTAAAAAAAATGGGCAACAGAATATTTAACAGTTATCTGATTGTACAGATCATTATTTGGGCCTAGGCTGCAAAATGAAGACATACATAATGGTGATACCGTTAGGACTGGTTTTCCTTATTTTTCTTCACGGATCTTATGGTAAGATATTATCCTAATGTTCAGATTTCATCTTTATTTCATGTTAATTTTTAAAAAATGGATAATGAATTTTAACATATGCATTTTTTCTATTATAAACAGTTTTATAGAAATGACTTTTTTTGTCCCCTTATAACTCACAAAAGTTTCTCAAAGGAGTTGATATATACATTTGAAAGTAAATGATTCACCTCATAGAAAAAAATGAATACGTACCATCTTTGATAGTTTCAATTTTGAAAATCGAAAATGAAAGACAAACATTTATATACACTTATACGAGATGAAGTCTATTAAATTTTAATTTGAAGTAAAACGTTTTTACTTCTGCTTATGTGTATATGAAATTTCAGGTTACCAAACTGACCCAGAACCGTGTACATCAGAAAATACAACTGTGATAGTATTCAATCAAGATGGTCTCTCTTTGTTACCACAAAATATATCCCAAAATAGGTATGAAGGTTGGGTTCGATTTGACCTCCCTAATGGACGACCACTTGTACTGTCCGACCACTGTAATTATAGATGTGCATGTCCCTGGACTTTAATCGGTAAGTTTATAATTTCACAGTTATCTGACTTTACATAACATTATTTGGAGCTAGGCTGCAAAAAAAGACATACATAATGGTTATACCGTTAGGACTATTGTAACGGGACTGTCTAGGGGATAGTCCCGTACATAAGTCCGAGTTCAAAGGATAAAAGAGAGAACAAGAATTTCAGTGTTTTAAAGAATTGCTATATTCTGTTGCAATATTTACAATTCAAAAACAAACGTAAAAGATATGAAACAATATCATATAAAATCCAAGAATGCAATAATTACCATTGAAAGAGAATTTTGCCCCAGTCCCCAAAATGCGTCTGATCAAAAATTAATAATAACATAGACTGCTCTGATTATACATTATACATAAAATTTAATAATAGTAAATCCCGGTCGGGTACTATAGACCCGGGTGCACCCAACCCGAACGGGTTAAAAACAAAGGGGAATAACTCTAAATAAAAGGAATGACAAACAAAGGAAAATATTAATAAAATATGGTACATATAGATAAATACATATAATTACATACACATATAATTAAATACAGGTAAAAACCACCACAACCCCCCTTCCTTAAGACCTAATGTGGATGAAAATACACATTAGTCTACATATATATAATCACATGTATGCCTAATAAAACCAAGTAATAATTCAAAGCAACATACATTCAATTATTATGAAAAAATATTAATAATTTACATTTATCATTATTCTGAACCTTTAAGATGACAGACATTCAATCAATCACATGTACAGTTATATAAACACTTCAGTTTAAACAATTAATAAACAATGTCACAACTTTCGCATATTTACACAGTTCATCGCAACTTCCTGACCTCGCCCTCTAATTAGCGGTTCTTCTTCTCCAGTTGTCGCCTCATCTCCCTCTCTCGCTCCAGTTCCGTTCTGTCTCCATCCTCGATTCTTTTCTTCACCAGCTCTCTGGCCCTTCCTATTAGTAGACTGAGGGTTGGTAAGTTTACCCACGTTGTTTGGATCCCTGTAGACTGGTGATCTGGGACTTCCCTGTCCCTGTACTCCTGCATAGTTAGCTTTCTCTTCTTGTTGCTGGCCACCTCTCTTTCCTTGGATACAGTTGTTACTGCAGTGGGCTCTGTCTGAGTAGAAACACTAATTTCTACATCCACCGGCATAATTCCATCATCTGCACTGGAATCCGCTTGTTCCTGGATCACTGCTGGATCAGTAGCTTCTCTCATGCAGCCTCCTTTGAATGTGTAAAGACCTGGGTCTAAATAACCCCTGTTCTCCCTGTGAATCACCTCACACTTAGTGAGTATAAACTCCACTCTGTCCTGATTGCTCTCATGTGCTCGGCGAATGTGAGTCCTCATGTCTGATTTCCGCCTACATTCCGCACTACACCCATTAACTGAGCATATAAATTTGGTAACACACAGTTTGTGTCTCTCCTCCCAGTGTCTGGAGAATTTGGATTTGGAGGGAAACTTTGTCCCTTTGCACCCAAGCACGGGGCAGACCATCCCTAAAGGATCGTAGAGAACTTCAATATAATCTGTCTGGCACTGTCCAAGGACAGCATTGACTTCACTCATGTCCGCGAAAAATTCAAGAAAATCTGTAGCCTGAAATAGAATTTGTTTATCATTAAAGAACTGTATGAATATTTTCATTTTACTAATAAACCTTGCATTATAACAGCAAAGAGTTTGAAAGGAAAATAAATAAATAGTATAACCGATCCCCACCCAATTATACAACAATGACAACTGTCATTTCTCCGACACAACAAGTACACATCCCATCACTCAGAGAATCTCTATTCTCTCATGGGAAATAACACCTGGTTACTGGTAGATAAGACACCGAAAGCTAAACCCATGGTGTACTAAAAAAAATCTACCCAATTCCAACCTAGGGTTGAAATAGGAATTTATACCATGTACTACATGTCATCATGTCCTCAACAGACATAAAATTGGGTCTTCCATAGGATTATACTTCATTAAAACAAACAAATAACAACACACCACCCCCATGAAATATATTTATCTTATTTATTTTTCTAAGGAGAATATCGAGAAACGGGTTTTATGAGTCTTCTTTTCCACGAGAAAGCTTCAGCGCGTCTCGATTGAACCGCATCCAGATCTGGCGATTTGCAAGCCAAAGGCTCAACTTCCTCCCGATCGCTCATAGTATCATATTCGGAGTCTGAACTTTCATCATATAGACATTCGTCTTGGTCATTGTCAGAATCATATTGATTCTCTTAAATCCCGTCGCCATGTAATTGCTTCAAGTGATCAACATGGACCACAACTGTTTTTCCTGTCGTTTCATGTTTTATCTCGTAGGTTATCTCTGAGAATTTCCGAGCAACCTTGTAGGGTCCTGTCCAACCGGACCCTAATTTCTGGTTTGCTTTTGGATGGTACCATCTCCATACCAGATCGTCCATTGCAAACTCTCGTGGCTTCAGTCTAACATCTTGATATCGTTTTTGTTTCTTGAAACTTGACTGCAAGTTTTCATGTACAATACCATACGTTATTTCCATAGTATTGCGAATCCATTCTACGTAAGAATGATAACAGCCAATCTCTGGTGGATTTGTAGGAGTTGTACCAGCTATAACATCGATATCTATGGGCAAATTGATTTTTTCTCCCTAACATGACCAGATTGGGAGTACATTTTGTACCTTCGTGAACCGTGGCACGATAGGCCATCATTAAATATGGCAAGTGGTTATCCCAATTAGATCTGTTCTCATTGATAAAGATGGACAACATTTGCTGGAGTGTGCAGTTAAATCTCTCTACCATACCGTCGGATTGAGGGTGATACGGCTTTGTACGGGATTTTATTATCTCCAAGAGAGAACACAACTCAGCAAACAGCGCCGATTCGAATTCACGGCCTTGGTCGGTATGGATTCTAAATGGTATGCCTAAACGGCATATTACTTCCGTTACAAGCTTATCAGCAACCGTCATTTGGAAAAATAATCGCCAACAACCATAATGTATTGTTTTCCTTCTCTAGTTAACGGTAGGGGACCTATGATGTCGATGGCAAGACATTCCATAGG